AGCAAACTTGAGGTATTGGGGCCTCGTCCTCAGTTTCACGATGAGAGGAGGGATGCAGGCTTGAGCGCAATCGAGCCGCGCATGTAGCTTTAGCAACAGCTGTTGTGGTTGGGCTAGGCAGTAGATAATATGAGGCAGCAGTTAGCTAGCTTGTTTGTTTGTTAGCTAATTGGTTAGTAGTAGTCGTCGTCGTAGGAGGAGGAGGAGGAGCAGCAGCAACAGTAGGAGCAGGAGTGGGAGTAAGTGTGGAAGTTGTGGCTGTTGTGGCTGGCGCTGTTGTAGTGCAGTAGCAGCAGCCTCTATAGCAAGTTTGTCAAAATGGCAATGACTAATACCAGGAGAAGAGCACAGCAAACCAACAAGCTCCGGAGTTCCGTTGGTATCCTTGCGACCCTGAACTTCAACCGTACACGGCCAGGGCATCGGAGGGCTGAAAACACATCGTCAAACCCGAAGCCCGAATCCGCACCTTCGAATTCTGCCATCGCGCAGGCAGCCCAATGATGCCAACTACTTCATGCGGCCCTACATCTTTTAATTCCCCAGAAACCTCCAAGGTCCCACGGCCCTAAGTCCAATCAAAGCCTGAGAACGGCAACGGTCATGCAACTCAGCGATCCCCGATGCCTGTGGGCCTGCCAGTCCCACAGAACCAAAAGAAAACCGTCTGGAAAACCCTCCGAAAACTCCAAAGGTGAGGACTTAGAGTTGTAACCCCCCTTAAAACCCTATGAGGCAGGGAGGTCGTCTGCAAGAAGAGGCAGTACAGTTGTCTTAAGCATTAGGCTTCAGGGCAGGTACGGTGGCTGCACCGGGCGAATCTCAAAGAAGCTCCCCGCACTTGGCAGCGTTCTGGTCTTGGAATTGGGGTGACGAGTGGGAGGTTCAGAGTTCGGGATGAGACTGAAAAACGACGGGCAAGACTGTGCAGCTTCTACGGTGGATCTCCCAGGAACGGCTGTAAACCCTCGCCCAGGACATCGCTTGCTTTCTCCGGCGAGGCAGGGAGCTGAGAGCTGGGGATCCCCTCAGAAACAGGAGGAGCAGACGTCTCTTTGGTCCGTCCCAGCCCGCTAACTAAAGCCCTTCAGCTCGCTTTGGAGGGGGTTTTTGGAGAGAAATTCCCCAGCTCCCGAAGCCGAAGCTCTTCGAGCAACTTGGCTTCCTTTTTTTGGGCTTGGAACTGTCTCCGGGCTTCCGCCTTTTGTGCCTGATCTGCAATCATGCGGCCCTGGCCGTTCCCGGTCTTCGAGTGTCTCAGCGTTTTCGGCATGTAGTCATCGAAGCTGATGTACTCTGGATCGTAGGACCCGGGCCCCGGCGAAGGCATGGCTTTTTGCATTCCAAGGCTGCGGCCGGAGAGGCTCCAAACCGGTGTACCGTTGTAGCGCCGCATCTGCCCAGACATTCCCGCCGAATCCACCTTTAGAGATGTCGCGGCAGTTGGAGAAAGTGTTTCGGGGGTGTCCGGGCCTTTCGTGCTGGGTGGTGAAGCCGGCTGCGGCGGCAGGCGCTTCGGCAACAAGAACCCAATCCAGCGACTGCGCGGTGTCAAGGTTCGCGGATCGTGCCGCTGCAGCCTCTCTTGCAGGATCTGGCTGAGATGCACGCGAAGCTGCGACACTGGGACCAGCTGCACACGTGGCCGACTCGGCACTGCCAAAAGAGTCAGATTTGGAGATCTCCTGCCTGCGTGCTGTTTCCCGAGCTGCCCAGCGAGGCGTGGCGGACTTGCAGGACTTGCAGGATCTGCGGCTTTCCCGCGCTTCCGCCAGCTGCACAGTGGTTGCAGCTGCGGCCCCGGGCCTGGATGCTGAGCCTGCAGGGCAGCTTGCCCATGTGCTCCGCATGCTGGCAGCTGCGGCGTGCAGGGCAGCAGCGGCAGCTTGGATAGCTTGGGGGAGGCTGCTGGCTCCCTCCGGCGCGGTGCTCTGGACAGCGGGAATGGGGGCACCTCTGGGACCAGTGTGATCCTCGGTGCACTCGGCGTCGTCCACGAGGCTCCATGAACCAGCACGACCAGCGGCTGGCAGGGCTGGCAGGGCTGGCAGGGCCGGACCGGCGGCGAAGTTCTCCGAAGAGAGGGCAGACAGAAGACAGGAGCTTCCGAGCCCTTCGGCCCCTTCCTCTGCGCGGACTCCGACCGTCGCGGATCCGAAAGCTGCATTTGAGAAACGTAAAGGACCACTGCGCTTGCAATTCCTTTATAAATAAGCACCCCGGTACATGCAATAGCAATACCGATCATGGTTGTCAAAATCACAGCCCACATCCAGTCTTGCAAAGGACACACAATCATAAAGGCAGTCACGGTGGTGGTTGTGTATGTTGTTGAAGTCCGGCTTATGGTCTCTGTGCTGGAGGTGCTGGATGTGAACGTGAAGGTACTGGTGGTGGTGATGGATGAACTTGACGTAGTTGAACTGCTCGCGCTGAATGTGCTAGTCGTCGAGGCGCTGCTGGTGGATGTTGTGGAGGTGTCGCTGGTGCTGCTGGAGCTGCTGCTGCTCGAAGTGGAGGTGGAACTGGTCATGCTACTTGAGCTGGAGGCACTAGTTGTGGACGTGCTGGTGAAGGTGCTTGATGTCGTCGTACTCAGCGTAGTACTTATTGATGTGCTTGAGCTTGAGGTGCTGGAAGTGGACGTGATGCTGTTGCTGGTTGAGCTAGATGTGCTGGAAGTGCTTGTGCTAGATGTCCATGTTGTTGTGGTGCTGATGGAAAACGTGACAGTGCTGGAGAAGCTGCTCGTTGTCGAGGTGCTAGAAGAACTGGACGTGCTGCTGCTGCTGCTGCTCGTGATGGAGCTGACCGTTCCGGACGTACTGGTTGATGTTTTTGACCAAGTTGTACTTGCTGTCCATGTGGTAGAAGTAGCACTCGAGGATGTTGAAGAACTGCTGCTAGTACTGCTGGAGGTACTGCTCGTTCTCGATGCGCTCGACGAACTGGAAGTGTGGCTGGTCGTGGTGCTGTAGCTAGACGTTGCCGAAATGGATGAGTGTGTAACAGACGTCATGGAACTGCTGCTGGTACTGCTAGAGCTGCTGCTGGTGAGGGAGGTGCTAGATGAACTGGAAGTGTGGCTGGTCGTGGTGCTGTAGCTAGACGTTGCCGAAGTGGATGAGTGTGTAGCAGACGTCATGGAACTGCTGCTGGTACTGCTAGAGCTGCTGCTGGTGAGGGAGGTGCTCGATGAAGTGGAAGTTTGGCTGGTGCTGCTGCTGAAGCTAGATGTTGCCGAAGTGGATGAGCGCGTGACAGATGTTCTGGAACTACTTCTAGTGCTACTGGAGCTACTGCTCGTGCCCGAGGTGCTAGACGAAGTGGATGTGCTTGTTACAGACATTGTGTAAGTTGTCGAGGTCGTGGTGACCCGATACAACCAGAGGTCGCCGCAGACACCGCTTCCATTGTACCCACCGTGAATGTAAATTACCTGGTTCGCGCCGTCCCAGGCAGCCACGTGAGACCAGCGTCCAGAAGGACCAGCATGCGCCGCTATCAGACTCCATGTGTCGCCGACCGAGTCGTATCTCCAAAGGTCTCGTTGGAAGACGCCGTCGTTGCTGCCGTGCAGCCAGAGCATGCGCCCTGTGGCGTCCCACACTCCCGCATGTCCCGATCTCGCCGTCGGACCTCCGCCAGCTGAGACTGGTGCCCAGCTGAGAGTGGAAGCATCCAAAGTCAATTTCCAAAAATCTCCCAACGGAGCATCATCGTAGCCACCATGCATCCAGAGCGTCTGGCCTGCCCCGTCCCATGCCGCCACATGATGCGACCGGGCTGGCGGAGCCCCGCCTGGTGCCAGCGGTTCCAATTTCTGCCAGCTGCGTGCATGTGTGTTGTAGCTCCACAAGTCTGACAAGCGCTTCGTGCCTGTCCAGCCACCATGCACCCAAAGGGAGGAAGTGCTCGATATCCAAACGGCAACATGCGCCTGCCTTTCGCAGGGAGCGAAATCATCGTTGTACTCGAGGCTCCATGACCCGAATTGGAGCTTCCAAACATCTCGAAACCAGGTCGCTGTTTGGCTGTTGTACCCGCCATGCACCCAAAGCGCCCCGTTGGTAGAATCCCAATCCGCAGCATGCAAAGCACGTGCTGCAGGCGAGCCGCCATTCATTGTCCGGGTCCATGTTGCAGACGCCGCGTCGAACGACCACAAATCTCCTTCGAGATTGCTGCCAGCATGGATCAGGAGCACCTGCTCTTGCTGATCCCAAGCGCCAACATGCTCGGCACGCGCCGCCGGTCGGGGGAGGCCTGACGCATCTGACATGTCTGCCAAGCGGTTCCACTCTCCCTGGGCGCTCCAGCATAAGCAGAGCAGCCGAACGACATGACATATCATGACATGCTCTCATGAGGATGCCTACCAACACTACATGCTTTATGGTACGTCAGTGCTCAAGGCTCCTTCTTGCATCAAGATACGCATAACCAGTCCTGTCTCTGCAGCGCCTGGCTTCTTACCGGCCACTTCAATGGCCCCAATTTGCTACCGCCAATCCTTGAGATGAGGCGGTTCCTCGAACCACACCACAGTGAAACCCAAGGACAAGCTGCCTTGCGCAGCAAACCACGAAGCGGCACAGAACGTCTCGTTACATTCAAAGGCAACAAGATCCATGATGCACGGCATGCGTTGAAACCCAGCGAGTAGTCTTCAAGTATGTGGGTTCATGTCACTGCGTGGTGATGCCAGTCCTTCCTAAAGAGCAAACCAACAGTTCCTGCAACTTCGCTCAGGTTTCACATGCGCCGATGTCGCTTCTCTGGTCGTTTGTGATCTTGCAGATTACTACCTATCATTGATGCAGTCATAATCAAGCACGTCACAACTACTTCCGCCCTTGCTGCTGCAAACTTCTTCTGAAGCAGCTCTCGGCATCTGTTTTGATACTGGCGACTGACCCACCTGCAAACAGGAGGTGAACCTGCAGACGTGTCTTTGGTCTGCCCGGCAAGTTTCGGGCGTACATCAGCCGTCCCCTTCGTTAGCGCTTCGGAGAGCCTCTTGGAGGACCCCCGTCTCTCTGCTTGGGCGGTGGACCGAAGGTCCATGCCGGTGTGCTGTTGTGCCGCGAGCAATCCGGAGAGACATCCTGCCCGGAAGAGCTGTCATGTGGAGGGGAGGGGTTGGGCCGGTGTGAATGGGAGTGCAAACTGGGGGACGTCTGTGGGGAGGGGCTGGACCGGTGTGGATGGGAGTGCAAGTTGGGGGACGTTTCTGGGGAGGGGTTGGGCCGGTGTGAATGGGAGTGCAAACTGGGGGACGTCTGTGGGGAGGGGCTGGACCGGTGTGGATGGGAGTGCAAGTTGGGGGACGTCTGTGGGGAGGGGTTGGGCCGGTGTGGATGGGAGTGCAAGCTGGGGGACGTCTGTGGGGAGAGGTTGGGCCGGTGTGGATGGGAGTGCAAGCTGGGGGACGTCAGTGGGGAGGGGGTCGATCGGCGGCCATCTGGGCTGTCGCAACTGCTTAATCTTGGGTCGCCGGAAGGTGGCGGGCAAGGAGGCTGTATGGAGAGAGGTGCAGGTGAGGGTGCAATGGGCTTCAATGGCTCGAGGGTGCCTGGGCCTGGGCTCAAGGATGCCGCTGGGGGCGCTGGGCGCTGTGCTTGAGCTGGCAAACGCTTGGGTTGGGCAGCTAGGTCGGGCACCCAGAGCCCCAGAAACCGGGTACGTGGGCTTAAGCTGATCGGATCCCGCAACACCGGCCTGCATGGCAACTGCTCGACATGGACCATGCGTGATCGCGGGACCAGCTCCTTCCGTGGAACGCTGCCTGGCACGACCTTCAGCCGAACACATATCGGACCTATCGGACCTATCCTGGGAGTCCGAGTCCTAGCAGTGCTTGGAGAGCGCTGGGCAGGTGGCTCGAGCCTCGTAAAGCTAGGAGGCAGTGGACTGGGCTGTCCTGGTATCGCCTGCCTTGCCTCCAGGGGACCTGGCAAATCCGGGAGGTGGCTCTTCTCCCAGCCACAATGGGTCTGCATGTACGTACATGCGTGCCGCAGCGGGAGGAGCAAAGCAGGTTCACTCGATGGCATCGATGGTCGCCCTTCTGTCTCTCTCCGAAGGATGTACACTGCACACGCTGTCCAAGGCCAACCTGGTGGCGGATGTGGCACGAGCTCCACACGCGGCTGGCTGCGCGGAGCCCAAGCAGTCACAGGCGGGGTGCTTGGTGCACGGATGGTTCCGGCCTGCTGAAGAGGCGGCATCGGCGCAAAGGTTGGAGGAAGTCTGGGCGAGAGTACACGTGCTATGCTGTCTTGTGGAACAACTTGACTTCGGGCTGGCACGCATTCGCTGGACTGCCTGGGCGAGCCACAAGGTGGCAGATCCGGTAGCATGGGTGATGGCTGCGGCTCGTGCCCGTGTTGTCGTGTAATGGTGGACACCTGGGACAGGAAAGCTGCTGACTCTGGAACCAACCACATCCTCGGAGAAACCGGTGAAGCACCCTGGAAGTGAACAAGAATAACCAGCGGAGCACGTGGTGATCTGCAAGGTCCCAGCCGTGCAAACACAGGGGCATCCTGAGTCCTTCGAGCTCTTCTCTTCTGGAGCAACTGTGGCTCCCGGGGCCGGTCTGTGTAAGACACGAAAGGCTGGATCGCCTCAAGGCTAGAGAAGCTGCACACAGCGCCCAAAACCAGAAGGATGACCCCGATAAGGGCAGCCAGAAGCCAATCCGGCCAAGGAATGGGGATGCAAAACTCGGTTGTGCTGGTGGTCGTAGCTGTCGTTGAAGTAGAAAACGTAGCTGTCGCTGTGCTGTGGGTGTTGCTCGTGCTCGATGACGAAGTGCTGCTGGAGGTTGTCGTGTGGGATGTGCTAAATGTCAAGGTCGAGGTTGTGCTCCTGGTGGTGCTGGAACTTTGGCTGCTGGAACTGCCGCTTGACGAACTCGAGGTCGTTGAACTGGAAGTAGATGACATGCTCGTGCTGGTTGTTCCTGTTCTGGATGTTGTAGCTGTGTTGCTCCTGCTACTGGTGCTGCTGCTGGTTCGTGAGATACTGCTGGAAGTTGAAGTTTGGCTGCTTGACGTGGAAGTCAAGCTTGAGGTGTGTGTCGTCGACGTCGTGGTGACGGAAAACGACCAGAGGTCCCCGCAGACACTTCCATTGTACCCGCCGTGAATGTAAATAACCTGGTTCGTGCCGTCCCAGGCAGCCACGTGAGACCAGCGTCCAGAAGGACCAGCATGCGGCGCAATCAGACTCCATGTGTCGCCGATCGAGTCGTATCTCCAAAGGTCTCTTTGCAGCACACCGTCGTTGCCGCCGTGCAGCCAGAACATGCGCCCTGTGGCGTCCCACACTCCCGCATGTCCCGATCTCGCCGTCGGACCTCCGCCAGCTGAGACTGGTGCCCAGCTGAGAGTGGAAGCATCCAAAGTCAATTTCCAAAAATCTCCCAACAGAGCATCATTGTAGCCACCATGCATCCAGAGCGTCTGGCCTGCCCCGTCCCATGCCGCCACATGATGCGACCGGGCTGGCGGAGCCCCGCCTGGTGCCAGCGGTTCCAATTTCTGCCAGCTGCGTGCATGTGTGTTGTAGCTCCACAAGTCTGAACACCGCTTCGTGCCTGTCCAGCCACCATGCACCCAAAGGGAGGAAGTGCTCGATATCCAAACGGCAACGTGCGCCTGCCTTCCACATGGAGCAATAACGTCGTTGTACTCAAGGCTCCATGTCCCGGATTGGAGCTTCCAAACATCTCGAAACCAGGTCGCTGTTTGGCTGTTGTACCCGCCATGCACCCAAAGCGCCCCGTTGGTAGAATCCCAATCAGCAGCATGCAAAGCACGTGCTGCCGGCGAGCCGCCATTCATTGTCCGGGTCCATGTTGCAGACGCCGCGTCGAACGACCACAAATCTCCTTCGAGATTGCTGCCAGCATGGATTAGGAGCACTTGCTCTTGCTGATCCCAAGCGCCAACATGCTCGGCACGCGCCGCCGGTCGGGGGAGGCCTGACGCATCTGACATGTCTGCCAAGCGGTTCCACTCTCCCTGGGCGCTCCAGCATAAGCAGAGCAGCCGAACGACATGACATATCATGACATGCTCGCATTAGGATGCCTACCAACACTACATGCTTTATGGTGCGTCAGTGCTCCAAGCTCTTTCTTGCAACGATATACGCGAGCTGCATCAACTGTGCTTCAGCCAGGTCCTAACCGTCCCAAGCACCATAGTTTCTACAAGAATGTATATAATTGATGCAAAGCACTGGCCCAAGATTTTGACCACCAATCCTTCGGATGAGGCGGTTCCTCGAACCGCATCGGCCACAGCGAAATTCGTTGTGCCAAATGTCTCAACACATTTCATCAATTCTCAGCATGGCGCCAATCTTCAAACTTGTTGCTTTGAGTATTACATTGCAACATGTGATCATGCGATGCCTTGAGCGCCGCAACCCACAACCAAAACTACGTTCAACAATGTCCTTGAAAACCCGGCTGCTTGACAAAAACTAAAATAGCCCGTAAGAATCAACGCACAAATGTCGGCAGGGTTGGACACAACAAGTGCAGACCGCTGCTTAAAACTCAACACACTGGATAAAAATTTTACGGACTTCGAGTGTCCTCCAACTTCCAGTTGGACACAGTGGCAGTGGCAGCTGCAGAACCGCCAGCTGCGCCGCCGGGCGAGCTTCACGTTGTCACAAACCCCTCCGCACGTAGTAACCCCATACTGATACTGATACTGTTTGTTTGAGAATCATCATGAATCATCGGAGCTTCGAAGCTTCGATGGGAGTTCCACACCACACAACACACCAACACAAGCTGCCTTCTTTTTTCTTCCAAAGAGATTTGGCCAAGTAGGTGCAAAACACACTAAAAGCCAGGACCCGGTCGAAAACGCGGCTGGGGAAATACAAGATACCCCTTCTGGAAAGCAAAGGAATCCATTTAACCATCGGTCACAGAGGACAAGTGCTCCCTATCGGAAACCAGGCAAGCAAAAGCAGAGCAAAACGTTGCTTGAGATCGTATCAGAGTTCTAGCTCCGTTTCGTTAGTTATTCAGGAAAAACACAATGCAAAGCAAATCTGTTTGCTCTGTGCACGAAGATCAGTCTTGAGCAGCCAAGCTGCGAAGTGCGACAAAGTTGGTGTGATGGATTAGCATGAGTCGCTTTCAAATCACACCTCTTTCGATGCGAAGCACACGCGTGGGAGCGCGGAGCTGAATAATGTCAGACGATCTTTTAAGTGTGCATCGATCCACGTCGTTGACAAGAAACGTTCCCATCAGCTAGTCCAATCTACGTCGCACCCTATACACTCGCAGCCTTTCATCGCGCAGGACCCACAACAGGGTTCCGAATCGCTGGCACAGGTGAGTACACCCTTTTTCCAGGGCGAAGAATCGGAGTGATGTGCTCAGAACCGCGGCAGCATCGCATGTCAGCGAGAAAAGATCGACACACAAGGAAAGCAGCATGGCTAGCCATTGTACCCCTATAAGTCTTCTCAACTTCGGCAAGGACAAAGGAATGCTGAGGAAGGTGTCGCACATGGCATCGGTCGAAAACTTCACCATCAGTTCTAGATAGGCTCGCACAGCTCTAGCACTTGTACTCTCCTTTTTACACCGTGTTGGATCTGTTCGGCTGTGCGGCTAAGCCAGAGAGGCCTAGGCCCCCAAGGCAGAAGCAAAAGCAAAACTTATTCCTTCTTTTTCACTTTCGAGACGACAGATGACACTTCCTTGCGCGACAAACATCACCAAACACCATGTCACGGCACAGCGTCTGAGCTGTGCGAACAGTGCCTTACAGCTCAAAGCCATGTCTAACAACTCCAGAGCGCGACGGTCAGCCTCAACACCGGAACCAACCTTCTGAGCATAATCTTTTTCATGAAGTCAGTTCTCTAATCGTTTTTGCCAATTTTTTGCAAGACATTTTTTTCGAAAAAAGAAATGCAAAGTAAAGCAGATTTTCAAACCCGCTTTGCTATGAAGACTTTACGGGGCATGCTCCATCACAGTTCGGCGAAGGGGGCTTGAGAAAGGGTTCTTGAAGGGGCTTGAGAAGTCCTCCCCCGCCTGGAGGGGAAGAGACGGCCAAGAGTTGAAGGGGAAAAATTCTCAGAGTTCCACCCCGTGCACCTTTAACATCTAACAGAGGCGATTCTACACACGTGTTTGTAAAGTCTAGGTAATGCTGCATCTGAATTTTTGAAGGGGAACTTCAATTAATTCAATTGATTGAACCCCCTTCAAGGGCTTAAGAAGAGGCTTCAAGCCTTCTTTTCGAATTACGGCCTTCAGAATTCTCGAATTCAATTTAGGAAGGGGCTTCAAGGGACTTGAGAAGGGGAGATTTCTCAAACAGGTCCAAAACCCCCTAAAGCGATTTGTGTGGCTTTCTCCTTTTTGTGGACTTGAAGAGTGCTTGAGAAGGGCTTTCACCTTGAAGCCCTCTTGAGAAACGCCCCCCTTCATTTTACTTCTTTTTGCTTTGCTTTCATCGCTTTTTTACTTTGTTTTCATCGCTTTAAACCCCTAAAACGATTTCGTGTGGCTTTCTCCTTTTTGTGAGCTTGAAGAGTGCTTGAGCAAGGGCTTCTCACCTTGAAGCTCCCTTGAGAAGCCGCCCCATTTTAGTTCTTTTTGCTTTGTTTTCATCGCTTGAACCCCCAAAGCGATTTCGTGTGGCTTTCTCCTTTTTTGTGGGCTTGAAGAGCGCTTGAGCAAGAGCTTCTCAAGGGGCTTTAAAGGGGGCTTGAGAAGGGACTTGAAGCCTCCTTCGAGAATTCGGAGAAGTCCCTTCTTAAGCCCCCTTGAAGCCCCCCTTGAAAAGCCCCTTGAAGCCCCCATTTCAGAAGCCCCCCTTCTCAAGCCGCCTTTTTCATGTTGCAGTGACACGGCATGCACTGAAAAAACGATTGTCTGAGCGTTGGACCTTTCCGTGAAACTGAGTTGGTTGGCCATGCTACAGAGCTTCAAGCCAGTGCTTGCGTTCGTGCTTTGGGCGGGGCGATCCAAACGCTACTTAGTGGAGGTGCATTCTGAGTGTGGAGTAGACTTGCCGGTGGACAAGCGGCACTGAGCGGGCGGTTGCATGTTCACTTGACAAGCGCTTCCACAAGACCACCGACTTCATGCACTTCTTCTTCCACTCCTGCCCAGACCATACCAGTGAATCCAAGCTGCGCAATCGGCCAAAAAGGCAGTTGCAACTAGCTGCGTTCTTATCAAGTGGCCTATTGAAAAAAGCGTTTGTAGGCCTGATCTTGGCAAGTCACAGAACCAACGCACTTTTTTTTCGTGTCAGCAATATTGGATGTGATCAGTGCTTTTGCAACCATTAACGCACAAGATTCAGTCAAGAATGCCATAAGCTGAAATGCATGCATAAGCAGATGTAAAATCTCTAGATTGGCAGTGGTGTCGTTGCGCTTCATTGCAGTGCAGTGCAGCCTGTGAAAAGTCTTCGATGCTTTATGCTCTTGGCAACTGTGCCTTCTGTGCAATGCACGTGCGCTTCAATTCTAGAAAAGGGCTGTATTTTGGTTTTTAGGCACTGCAGATGCTGATGCTTCTCTATATTCAGCCTTTCACTTTTTTTTCACCCCTCTAAATTGAAGTCTCTACGACTATCGCACATGTAAGGCCTTGAAGCAAAAAGAAATGATTGGTCAATTAAAAGTCTAGGTGATGCACTTTTTTGAGGATGCTTGCGTCCCATGGAATCAGATTTGGATTTCAGCATGGTCCATGCAAGACTTCAATTGCAAAAAGCTTTTTGACAACATTGCAAAGATTACAGTTTAGCAAACAAAGCTGACTTGCACGTGCTTGGCTCTTGGCGTGGCTGCGAGCACGTTTTGCTTTGCGTTTTTTGTTGGTCGCAGTGCTAGTTAGTCCTACTAGCAAATGCTGTAATCCTTGCATTGGTACGAAAAATTGTCGTCTTCTGTCTTATTTTTTACTGCCTTCGATCTTATCCATCCCAAACGCTGGATTTTCAGCGAATCTGCGTCTAGCGTTTTGTACAGACAATTCGGCGGTTAAGAAAGGTTTCTATGGAAATCACCACTACCCTCCGCCACCAGCTTGTGCCGTGTCTCCAATTGCTTCCCTGCCGGCCGTTCTTGGCCCATGCCTTCGGTGCTTCATTGTGGGGCAGCCGTTGCTCGCCCGACCTCGACTGTTTCTCATGGTTTCTTGATATTTGCTTGGTCTTGGGCTCCCCAGCAAAGCATCTTTTGTCACCCACCGTCGCTGAAATACGTAATGGCGGTTGAGAACCATTTTGCTGAACAGGTCAGCGACAGCTAAGCTTTGATGCCTGCAGCCGATTGTGTAGTTGTCGCTGGTGGACGATGAATCGATTTTCTTGTCCAAGCCGCCGCCTAGCTGGGGGCACTATCCCACCCGCATGCGGAACCGTCGACACAGCGTGGCCTGCTGCCGCGCTCTCGTCCAAGGAACTCCAAGACCCAGCGGCGCCGGCCTGCACCCCTATACGCCGACCTGCGGTCTCGCGATAGCGTCCTCCATCTCCAACCTTACCCGCGTTGCCGGCGGCGCACGTCGGCATTCCGCCGCTGGCCGCTCGTGTACAGGTGCCTGCGCCCATGCACCATCGCCCAGTGTATGCGTTCCGGCTCAAGAGACGTGCATGCCTCACCATTGCGGGCTCCGTAGACAGGCACTGAAGCCGTCAGTCGAATTAATCCGACTCTTGTGGGCTGCCGTTGAGACCGATGAGCACGCCACCGTCCTTTCTGTCGATGCGGTTGGCGGTTTCGACCATGTTGCGGGACACACCATGTTGCAGGCACGGCGTTGCGCGAGGTGAGGCTGTGTTTGCTTTGCTCGACGACACATACGTCGTTGCGCTGCTTATGTCGTAGCGAGCCCTGAACTATTTACGATGCACTCGCAGGTGCTTGCTGGCAACACGTGCGTGTCCGCGTTCACCACAGCGAAACGCCCATGTGGAATGCTTCCGGGGAAAAGCCT